ATAGTTCTTTACACAAAGATTTGCTTTTGCTAAATATTTATACTAACTATACATGTGAATTTCAGAGTCTGTATTTAATATGTCTTGTAGGAGAGCTATGTAGTGATTCCCTGTCTCCAAAAAAAAAATTGTTGGGCTGGGGATTTAGCTCAGTGGTTTCGCCGCCTGCTGCACAAACACAGGGACCTGAGTTCGATCCCCGGTACCAAAAAAAAAAAAATGAACAAAAACCTGCTTGAATAAATATTTATGTATTTTAGGTACTCTAACAAAGACTGAAATTTGCACTCCAAAAATAAAATAATCTTGCCACAGAGAATTCCAGACCCATCCTTTCTAATATTCTGTCCTTCAGAAGTAATGTTTTCTATTTTATATTTCCAAGCAGTTGTCCTTTTTCATGCCACCACGTTCTCTTACCCACATAATCTGATAACCTAACTAGTCTTTCTGTCTTAAATCTGAATTCTCTACCATTTGTCTTTTGCATTGAAGCCCAAACATTCTAAAATACAGTGGGGTTTTTTGACTTTCTAGGTTAAATTAATCCTCTTTATTACTCGTGGGTCAAATCCAGCCTTCTTACAGTTTGGGCTGTGCTTACCTCTCCAGGGTCATCTCTCACCACTTCTTTTTGTTAAATTTTTGTTTTTATTGGTACACATTTGCAGTACATAATGGTTCCATTCACCATAGGGAGTTGGTACATGTATATAACACATCTTAATTCTTTTTGCTTCCCCTTTCCCTTCCCACTCTCCTCCTCACCATTCCTGTCACTTGAGGTCTCAGCCTGAAGTCCTTTGTCAAAGTGCATGTAGCTCTTGCTACCAAGAGGCTGCCCTGTAGCGTTCCATGTGGTGGCTCTCAGAAGTGCTTCTTGTCCTACTCAAGTCAGGTAAGTCACCATCTGAGGACTTGACACAGTGTTCAAGTGTAGATCAGGGATGTACAGACTTCCAGTGTATGACAAGGTATGTACAGAAATTGAGATTGTTGTAATATTTTTTAATTTTGTAAAAATGGCAGCATTGGCTTGGAATTCTCTTGATGTTATCCTTTACCACAGACTAGGAAGCACTGTTCTTCAGGACTCTGCAAGAGTTGCATCCCACTGCTTGCCAAATTGCAGTCTATTCTAATTCTCTACCTTTTTATACTCCCCTCTTCAGTAAAAGCTGAGATTTCAGGAGCAGTGCCAAGTTTATATTCATAACCTCAGGATCTCTAGTATGTTTAGACTTGTCGAATGGAAAGCAGTAGTGGAGAATACGTCTGAAGTGTCTGGATACCCCATCTTTTTGTCTCTGCAAATCATCCCGCATGTTTTCAATTCAAATCATTTTGAATGACAGGAATTCTGATGAAGTGAGAAGTAACAGCCTTAAGCATTTGAGTGTTCTGTAGTCTGAGCAGGTCACGGAATTCGAAGGAGAATGAGTACACATCCACAGTATTTGCAGTGTCACAGCCTCGACCACAGCCAACCACGGAGGCTGAGTCCTGCTCTTGGTCAATCTCACAAAGGATCAACGCAGACGATGTAGTTTACTGGTTAGCAGGGTTTATCTCTATACCCCTTGGCACTTCCAAAGTATAGAAGTTTCCATGAAGTTTTGTGGGTTGTAGCTTTTAGTGTGTGTGATATTAGAAATTAAATGAGATTTTTAAAGCAAGAATACAGAAGCATGTTTTCCATTGGCCATGGCCATCAGAACATAATGTGATTTATTGAGCATTGTTCTTTAAACACATTAATACTTCTGCGAATGGAATGTCACGTTTGATATTTTCAAGGAATTATGCAATATATAAGTCCTTGTTCAGTATGAAATTAGTCCCACATAAGAGGTTTGTGTGTGTTAGTGCCTCAGCCATACAAGACCAGGCTGATTTAATCCTCAGTTGTCAGCATCATCTTCGCCTTCCCCAGTTTCTTCATTGTCCTCAGGTGCAAGTTCAGCTGCTTCCTGTGCGGCTTTGAAGGCCTGCTCCTCTTCCACACTAGGGTCATCCATTTCTATAATTTCTGGTCCACTGGGGTATTCTTGATAAACTGGCGGTGGAACTGGGGGGGTGTAATTGTCCACACTATATTTATGACCCCAGCCTATGTAGAAATTTTCAAACTTTCTATAAGTTAAAAAAGTCATATTTGGTGAGAAAACTTGATCCTTCTGTAGAAATACAATGCTTTTACCGTATATAGTCCAGTAATTTTAAGAAAACATTACATTTAAAATAAAAGGTTAGAGGTAAATTATCCCCAGTAACTATGCTACCAGAGGGAATAATTTTGATCCAAACTGCTTAAGGTAAGAAAACCATGGGGCCAAACTTGTCAAAATATACCCTCCACCTAGAACACAAGAATAGGCCTTAGGCAACTTGGGGGTGGGGGAATGTTACCAACTTTCCGGGAAGTTACATAGAAGGGTTTAAACATGTTCCCACTGAATTGGACTATCCTCGGTATATTTAGGGCTGTCCTGTTGGGCAGCTTGTACCACTGATGGTACAAACGGATCTAATCACTTCAGTCTTTTTTGCTAATAAAATTAATAAAAAGCTGCCCATGGGACAGTCATACACGTACCACCTGTGGTTCAAGCCACTAGGCAGTGAGGCCTTGTCATGTATGTGTTAAACGTTTGTTAGCAAACTTGGCTAAGTGAGGAGCCAAACGAGGTTAAACAAACTTGTGTTACTTTTTCAGGACTCATTTTGGGCAATTACAAAAGGCTTTATCTGGGAAGCCTTACCTGGGAAAACTCCCCCCTCCCCAAAGAGGAAAATTGCTGTTCTCACACCAAACAAGGTGTCCAACCAGTGCATTGTCTGAGGAGAGCTGTGGCCAAGGACTCTGGCCCCTCTGGGTGGTCTTGCTCTCTGAATTCCTAACTCAGGTGCATTCATTTCTAGGTCTCTTCTTGTTTGTACCGGGATCGAACTCAGGACCTTGCACTTTCAAGGCAGGTGGCGGCACCGCTGAGCTAAATGCCCGGCTCTGGGTCTCTTCTGAGGCCTGAACAGCCCATTCTTAACTCCATACACCACAGGTGCCTTTTGTCTAGGGACTATGTTAGTGAAGTGACCCAAGTCCGTCCGTTCCCCCCCCAGTCTGTGACAACCACATTCGTGCGAACCCATGTGACCCTCCGTGGAAGGAAACGGGGCCGGGAGAAGTCAGTTGTCCTGCTTATGCTCACAGTGAGTGATGAGGCTAAGTTCTGAGTTTTGGCTTGTTGCCCTAGTAGCTACTCTGACACCTGGCAGCTCAGCTCTCCAGCTGCACTGCACTGCTGAGGAGAGGCTGACCAAAAAAGAATGGAAGCCCGAGACAAAAGCAGCTTTTTATTCTAGGTGAGTGATAATAGGATTTTGAGTATATTGATTCTAAATCTCTCAAAACTGATCGCTTACAGCATTTTTTATTGTCTTTTATCAAAATGGTCAACAAAAGTAATACAAGTCTTAAACGAAACACTACTTGGAATTATCTCCATCAATCTCAGTGAATAAATTAATCATAGATGAAAAATTATGTTTTATTTCAGTTAAGGGCAAAAGCCCAAATTAGAATCCTAAGTTCAATGATTTACTTTATAATTAGATGTATTTTAATCTTTGCCACACACATAATATGGGAAAGATGAGTTAAAACAATAGTGGCTTAACATTCCAGTGATAACATAATTTCCAGAGCTTAGTCAGATACTTACTTGCCAGTGCAAAAGGCATATGCTCCAGGCCAAAGGTTGGATTGAAGGACTGCAGTACCATATTGTGGAATGAGACTTGAGGATAGTCGTGTTGTCCAAGCGGGTATATTCTGAATCTCTGGAACAGAATTCTTTTTTGGTACTGGGGATTAAACTTAGGACCTTGCATTTGCGAGGCAGCCATGGTGCCCCTGAGCTAAATCCCCAGCCCCTCTAAATCTTATACATGTATTTGATGTAGAAAGAACTTAAAACACCATTTCCATGTAAAATCAGGAGACTTTTTTGATTGTTTTGGAACAACACATTTGAAGTATACGTGACTATATGCACATTCACACATACACACCTTTTTGCTGCAGCGGTTTTAAGGGAAAAGAGGCTTTTGTGGGGGAAGGAATACTACTTTGTCCTATATGCCACCAAAGAAAAGCCAAATTACTACTGATGCAGAAACTGAACAGTACCACATGGGTATTCGACTCTAGCCCTGCCATGTGTTTATGGTCTGCAGAATGCAAGACAGAAGGATGTGCAAGTGTCACCATCCCTGAGGGCAACAGCTCACATTTCCTCCCTGGAGCATTGCTTTGGCTCTGCCCCAGTGTGCAGCAATGGCAGGCTGCCTTGTAGACCCCACCGCTCCCGAGGATGAAGGGAGAGGGGTTTGGCCCTGGTACCTACCCACCTCTTGGAGGTTTCCAGTTCTTACATGTTTACCACACGATGCACATCATGTATAGTTTATGTGTTAATAGTTACATAAACTTACCTAAATCTTCAGAGATGGGTGTCAAAAGAGGAGGCCCCACTTCTTGTTCTATATAGTCAGGCTCTTCTTTTTCTTCATCTTCTTCCTCCTCCTCCTCATTTTTTGCTATGGGGTTAAACCAAGTACAGCGACCCTGGAAATGCATGTTTCAAGATAGCCTAATGTAGACCTTAAAATTTCAATATTCATTTAGATTGAAGCAATTATCAGGATATGGTTTCACTGCATGGGAAATTAATTTTCCATCCATTCATTCTACATGAATTTACCAAGTGCTATTTCCATCTAAGTAATTCCAACCAAAAAAATTGTACTATTATTTTGCAAGAATTTACCAGTTTCTTAAAATTACAGAATTTGAAGTTTCATGTATGTTTTAAAATTAACAGAACCTTAGTGAAAAAAGTAATGCAATATACTGGTTGTAAGAAAGTATATAAGTTAAGTAAAGCTATCATGATTAACAATTTTTGAATGTGTACTAAGGTTGAGGATTGTAATTTCTCAACCCTAGAGATGTCTCAGTGTATCTGCTATCTAGATCAAAATATAACGAAGATTTTTCTACCTGTAAGTGAGGGAATACAACAGAGTGGTTAGAAGGACGGACTCTGGGTCCATTCTGCACAGCCTCACATCTAACTATATTACTTAGTAGCTGTATTCTCTTTGTCATGTTACTAATGCTTCCTAAATTCTTTGTCTCAGTTTCTTCATCTATAAAATAAAGATAATAATACTATGTTTTTCACAAGGTTGTTCTGGGGATTAATTTATGAATATGTATATATAGTCAATTTAAAATATAGTATGTACATCTGTAATATATAGTATAGTCATAATTTAATACAATCATACATGAAATTTAAGATATAGTGCTATAAACACCTGATACAATAGGTCCTATAACTGCAATATAACACTTTACTTATCCTACTTTTCTTATAATCATTGTTCTTGACATAAAAGGTCTATGTATTATAGAGATAGAATTAAGGGCTGGGGATTTAGCTCAGTGGTTCCACCACCTGGTTCACAAGCGCAAGGTCCTGAGTTCGATCCCCAGTACCAAAAACAA